ATTTGTCCCGCTTTGTCTCAATGAAAATGGGGTCACTTTATACTAGTACAGATAATGGGAACATGAGAAACTTAATGATTTTGGGATGTTGGATTTTCAACTCTCAAACTGCCAATTTCTTAAGAGATTTGCAATTGCAGATAGTGTTTTCACTTTTTTTTTCTTTAATAATTTTCAAGAAAAAGACCTACATCTGTTTAATTTAAAACCAAATAATTTTGTTACATTCAAATACTCCATGAAAAGGAACCTTTTATCTTCTGCTATCTGATCAAAAGAAACATATGTTCTAGGAAATGGCAAATAATTAAAATGGAACAGATACAGTCAGTCACAAAAATCTACATACACTGATCAAAATAAAGGTTTCTCAAAAAACAATTAAATTTAAATTTTAAAAATCATATCACTCCTTCAGTTTTCTCTAAAAAAATTTTTACGTAATAAAAATATTCAGAAATAATAATTTCTAGGTAATTTTGTGATTTGTATAGTAATTATCAAGTCGCAAAACTTTGCATACACCTGATTAGCGGAAGGAAAAAAAATTGCATACGAAGTTATTTTGGAAGATTGTCTAAGTTTGATGTTACATGTTTCGTTATCTATTCTAATCTTCATTTCCCGAGATTGTAACTTCAACAAAATGAGTCAGGGAGAGGAAACATCTTTAGAACTTCGAAATATGATTGTAAGAATGAAATGTGAAAAGAAATCTTTTGCAGAAATTGTAAAAAAAAGTCGGTCAACTGTTCAAACAATCTACAGAAATTATGTTATGCGTGTAAATGTGCTTAACAAATATCGATGTGGTCGTCCAAGGAAGCTTAATGATCGTGATGCAGGAACCATAGTAAGAAAAGTGAAGAAAAATCCGAAAACTCCAAAATTAGCGAATCAAATTGCAGCAGCTACAGGAAAGAAAGTGCATCCAGAAACTGTTTGTAGAATTCTTCGATCAGCCGGCTACAATGTTAGAGTTTCTAGACGAAAGCCGTTCATTTCATCTACTAACAAACAAAAGAGACTTGATTTTGCTTCTGCACATATTGACCAAGATTTTAATTTTTGGAAAACAGTTGTTTTTTACAGACGAGAGTAAGTACATCGTGTTCGGGAGTGATGGCCGTGGAAAAATCTGGAGGAAAAAAAACACAGAAATGAATCCCGAGAATTTGACTCCAACTGTGAAACATGGTGGAGGCAGTGTAATGGTTTGGGGAGCAATGGCGGCAGCTGGAGTTGGCAATTTAGTGTTCATTGATGGCATTATGAATCGATTTGATTGCCTGAAGTTTGTGCAAGACAATCTGCTTCCATCGGTTCGAAAATAGGGACTTGGGAACAACTTTGTCTTCCAGCAAGACAACGACCCAAAACATACAGCTGAGATTGTTAAGGAATGGCTACTCTACAAGACGCCTAAACAGCTCCATTCGCCGCCACAGTCCCCAGACCTTAATCCCATCGAGCACCTTTGGGAGGAAGTTGATAGGAGAGTTCGGGAGCAATCGGTAACAAGCAAGGNGTTAGCCTGTAAAAAAATTCCTAGAACTCTTCGAAACATTTTAAAAGTTTTTTACACACTTCAGGCCATGCAATAAGTATTTCATTAACTCATGTGTAAGGCAGCACTTTTTATATCAGGCATTTCATAATGCTTTTGAATAATTCTTTGCATCATGTTCCGTAAAGTAGGAACAGTACTGAAGACAGGCTTTCTTTATCTGTGTTCCATTTCCTCCTTTGCTCAATATTCTATTTCATACCATTGAAATTTTCGATAATCAGACAAAGAAACTCACTTCACCTGTAATATATAGGAAAAAAAATTATTTTCACGCCTTCCATTAAACTTTTAAACCCATGTCTGCCGATTCCTCCAAAATTGACTACCACGTGGCACCTGCCTTTGTTTCTACCAATGCGGTTATTTCAATGAAATTTCATTCTGCAAGTACTGTTTTCATTTCTGATTGCCAAATAATCTTTTTAGCTTTAAAATACTTTTTCATTTCGAAACATAATAATTAAATTCATTTAGATTTTAACAGCTGCTTGGTAGCTATGATGCAATTTTCTAATTATGCATTTACTGTAGATTCACCTGTATCATAGTATCTGATCAGGCAGTAGAGAAGCTTAAAGAAATTTAATAGCCCTGTTATCTTGTACTAAATTCAGTTGAATATCAAATTGTATAGTTTTGGTGAAGTGAACTCTTAACAGCTCAATATTGATTATAATGGTAATTGTTTCTTACTCTTCACCTTGGAAGGATATTGGGAAGATATAGGCATTCAATTAAAGAGTTGAAATATTCACGCCCAATTTATTTCATTGTAGAAATAGACACATCCTGACGCTTACTTGCACAAAAAACATCTTAATTAAAATGCTTGATGTGGTGTAGCTACCACTACAAATATTAAATACCAAATCACTAGTATATAACACAGGTTATTGATTCTATTTAGCCCCCCAGGGGCACACTCTTGTGTGAC